TCAGGGCAGCGCAGCGCCGCCGGCCTGGCGTCGCACCTGCAACGCGGGCTGCTCCGCGCGCAGCCTGGAGTCGAGGAATGCGACGGTGGCCTGCATGAAGGAGGAGCCCTTGGCAGTGAACTGGTCCGACAGCCACTTCTCCAGGTTGAGGTACTCGCGCCGCGCAGCCAGCGCAGCCAGCTCGATGCAGAAGGGCGGCGGCGTGGCGTCCAGCACCACAGCCAGGCCCTTGAGCTCCTGCGGGCAGGGAGGGGCGGGAGGGGGGGCGGGGAGGGGTGAGGTGGGGCAACGGGGGCAAAAACCAGCGCCGCCCGCACACGCCGCTGCACCAGCGCCGCCCCCGCGGCAGCCGGGCCAGCCGGCGGCAGCAGTGGGAGCGCAGGCCGCAGCTCCCTTCTGGCCGCAACACAGACACCAAGCCGCCGCCGCCACACAGACGGCGGCGCGGGGCGGGCCTCGCCTGGCACACGTCCAGTACTCGCGCCACATTGGAGGCATCCTTGTGGTAGAGCGCCACGGCGGCGCGCAGCACGGCGTCGCGGTTGAGCGGCCACAGGCGCTGCAGCACGGCGGCGCTGTTGGGGTGGCTGGCCACGTAGGTCACCACCAGAGGGTCAAGCACCTCCTGTAGGGGTGGGGGGTGGTGTGGGGGTGGTGTAGGGGTGCCAAGAAGAGGGGGTGGGGCCAGCGGGGCGAGCGGCAGGGGGGCAAGCAGGCGGGCTGGGCGGCGGGGCAGCCTGGGCAGGGCGCACGCAGCGATGGCCGCTTTATGTGTCATGCAAGCACGAGGCCGGGCGGGGCAGGGGCCGGAGGCAGGCGGCGGCCGCCATGACCAACATCGGCGGCCGCGCGCGGCAGCACCCACCTGCTGCAGCGGGCCCCAGCCCGCCTGCACCGCCGCCATGCCCAGCAGCAGCACCTCCGGGCACTGCTTCAGCGGCGGCTCCAGGATCTGGCGCACCGCCGCCGCATGCCCGCTGTCTGCTAGGCGCGCCAGGCAGTCGAGCAGGTCCAGGCAGAGCCAGGCCTGGTTGGGGGTGCCCACCCCCGGCTTGCCCGCGTGCAGCCCCTCCACGGGCTCCTGCCGCCGCGCGGCGTGGGCCCAGGAGAAGAGCTCCGGCGGCGCGGCGGCCGCCTGGCGCAGGAAGGACAGCTGGCCGGGGGCGTTGGTCCACAGGCTGCCCACCAGCGCGGGCAGCGGTAAGGGCTGGCAGGCGGTGGCGCGCGCCCACACGGCCATGAGCACCTTGAGCGCCCCCGCGTCCGGCACCGCAAAGCCGGGCTGGTCCAGCAGGGCCACCACGCGCTGCCAGTCCAGGCGCGGGCTGGCGGCCTGCAGGCCTGCCACCAGCACGCCCACAGACCAGGTGGTGGCGCCGTCGCCCAGCGACGCGCTGGCCAGCCCGCTGCTCAGCCCCGCCATGTCGCCGCTGAATTGGCCCTCGCTGGTGCGCGCCACCATGCCCAGCACCCCCGCCACAGCCTGCTCGCCGGGGCTGCCGTAGGGCTGCAGCACCGCGGCCAGTGCCGCCTCGCTGGAAGTGCAGCGAGGGCCCGCCTCCTCCAGCGCCGCCGCCAGGGAGCGGCCGCCCGCGGCGTCCGCCATGCCTGCCGGCGCTTGCTAGCTACCTAAAGAGTCGCCCTGCCCCGCCTCGGGCCCGCCTGGCGCGGCCTCGAGAGGGGGGAGGGAGCACTACCAGTGCGCCGTGGCGCCGCCGCCTCCACCGCCGCCGCCGCCGTCTGCAGCAGGGCAGCGCGAGAGGTGTGGGCTCCCTGCAGCAGGCTCTGCGGCTCGCTGACAGCAGCGGCCTGCGGCTCCGGCTGCCCGGCAGAGCTGCAAATGACTCTGGGCCACCGGCCACGCGCCCACCAACCTCACCTGCTGGCTGCGTGGCTGCAATAGTCACAGTTGTGTACTGGAGCGTAGGAGAGAGGTGCCGGCAGCCTGCAGGGGGCACCAGGCAGACGATCAAAGGTGCCGGCACCAGCAGGCGAGGCTGCAGGCCCTCGCCCTGTAGATCAGGACCCAGCACAACCCCCGGTTCTCCCGAGTGCCGCAACAAACCGATTGGCGGTGCCCCCCGTTTGCCCGCTCTGCCCGCACCTTGTTTGGAGCTTGTTGGGAGCCGCGGCTGGCCTGGGATTGCCTTTTAACACGACGCACGCGCCGATCAGGGCCCTGTAAGCGTCCTCCGCGACCAAGGGCCACTGAAGAAAACTCTGGGCGCCGCCCAAGTGCCGCCGCCCAGTCGCTCTCTGCGCGTCTTCAATCCCTCCACACAGTGTAGGGCTGTTCCAGGACTTGCCAACGAGGCGCTGCTGAACGCTGCTGAACGAGGCATCACCTAGGCACTGATCGAGCGTAATATGGTGCGCTGCGCCGCCTGAGCCGCTCCAGCGATGGTGGCACACTGCCGGGAGGAGTGACAGGGGCGGGGCTCGCCCTGTGGGGGAGCTGTTGGAATCATGCAGCTTCAAGTGTGTAGCTCCCTGGCAACCGCCCCATCGGCCGCTGTGGGGACGCAGCCGGCGCTGATTCGAACGTGCCGGTTGCTTGGCGAGGCTGGCAGGCGGGGGCTGGCCTGCCTGCCTGCTGCACCCGCCACCTGCCGCCACCCGCCGCCGACCCCCCCTGCGCATGTGCCTTCCCCCTATGGTGCGCATCTGCAGGCGCTGCCCGGCCAGCAAACGCCCGATGGCGTGCCCAGCGTGAGTTTTCTCGCAGCCTGCTGCTGCTGCTGCTTGTGCACCATACGAATGGTGGCAAGACGGCGTGCGTGTTTCCAGGGTTTGGTCCGGCACCCGAGCAGCCCCACCAAAAGGTTTCTGTTCGATTCCAATGCCTGCAGTTTAAGCTCGTGCTGGTTGGCGACGGTGGAACAGGTGTGGTGGGAAGGGACACATGGTCTGCCCCGCCTGCCCACCAGCTGTGCTGCCGCGCCGTGCACCCGCTGCCCGCTCCCATGTGCATGGCGCCGTGCCGCCCCGCCCGACCACCTCTCCCTCCCCGCAGGCAAGACCACCTTTGTCAAGCGCCACCTGACGGGAGAGTTTGAGAAGAAGTATGAGCGTGAGTGCGCCTGCCCGGGGCTGCTGTCCCTGTTCCTGCGCTGCTCTGCTGCCGCATCGCGGCGCCTCCCTCGCACGTGCATGCCTCCCGCGCCCCTCCAAACCACCTCCGTCGCCCCTTCACCCCCGCCCTCCTTTGCCCCTCCACCCCACCGCCTCCCCCTCCCCACAGCCACCATCGGCGTGGAGGTGCACCCGCTGGACTTCACCACCAACCGCGGCAAGATACGCTTCTACTGCTGGGACACGGCGGGGCAGGAGAAGTTTGGGGGCCTGCGCGACGGCTACTACATCCACGGCCAGTGCGCCATCATCATGTTTGATGTCACCTCCCGCCTCACATACAAGAACGTGCCCACCTGGCACCGAGACCTGTGCCGGTGAGCGCGGCAGGCCGGTGGGGGCAGGGCGTCGTGCGCCGGCAGCGGCAGCAGCGGCTCCAGGCATGGGCGCGCCGCTCAGCAGCACCTCCTCCGCGCCCCCCGGGCGCCAGCTCCTCGTCGCTGCGCCGGCTGCATCCCATTCCTGGGCGCCTCACCCGCCTGCCTGCCTGTGCCGCCCTGCCCTGCCCTCCCGCAGCGTGTGCGAGAACATCCCCATTGTGCTGTGCGGCAACAAGGTGGATGTGAAGAACCGCCAGGTCAAGCCCAAGCAGGTGCGCTGCGTGCAGGGCCGTGGCGCTGGCCCAGCAGCGGTGTCGGCCCGGGCTGCTGGGCTGCACCCGGCCGCGGCCGGTCCTGCAAACTTGCACCTCCCAATGCCGCCCCACCCTGCCCCTGCGCCTCCATCTGCCCCTCCATCTTTTGCCGCCCCACCCCACCCCCACCCGCAGGTCACCTTCCACCGCAAGAAGAACCTGCAGTACCACGAGATCAGCGCCAAGTCCAACTACAACTACGAGAAGCCCTTCCTGTACCTGGCCCGCAAGCTGGTGGGCGACCCCAACCTGCACTTTGTGGAGCAGGTGGCGCTGGCGCCCCCAGAGGTGCAGATCGACATCCAGCAGCAGCAGGAGTACGAGAAGCAGCTGCAGGTGGGCGGGGGGCCGGCCGCCGCCGCGCCGGCAAGGTGCTGCCCTGCACAGCCGGCCGCTGTGCATGCAGTGGGGCTTAGCCGTGGGCTTGCCTGCCGCGTCTTGCCCCTGGCGTCGCCGACCCACGCCTGCGCCCTGCTCCTGCTCACCCCTGCAGGAAGCTGCCAACATGCCGCTGCCCGACGGCGACGACGACGACATTGCGGAGTGAAGCAGCGGCCTGGCGTCTGGCAGGCCCGCGGCAGCCGTGCTGGCGGCCTGCTGCGGGCGGGAACTGCGCAGCCTGGCGCGTCGGCAGCTTTGTTTAAAGCTTGTTCTTGCCAGCTCTTGAATCCCCCCCTCCTTTGGTTCTGACGCCCTCCGCCATGTGTTGCGGCGCCAGTTGCATGTAGCGTGTGGCACAACTGGGAGATGCTTGTGTAACCGGCACAGTGGCTGGAGTGTGTGTGGCAAGCCTTGGCAGCTCAGACGCCGCTGGCGCCAGCGCTACTCTGTGCCAAGCTTGTGAGCAACAACGGCGAAGAAGGGATCGCTGCTGCCGCCCGAAAACAGCCGCTCGCCCCACATCTGCACCTGCTGCACCAGGCCTGTGGCCTGTGCGGGCAGCTCCACCCGCTTCACCACCTCTGGCTCACTGAAGCCTCCCGCCGCCGCAAAGTACGACTTCACCTGCAGGCACATGGGCAGAGTGTGTTTAGACAGGTCCCCGGCGCCCTGCTGAGCTGGGCGTCCCGCCGCACGCCGCCCTGCTGCCCACCAGCACGCAGCGGCCGTAGTCTGTGTTGTCGCGCCACGCGGCAATGGCCTGCGGTGCAGGGGTGGGCGGTGAGATGCGGGGTCGGCATGGTGCTTGGCCCGCAGTGCACGCCGCGGCTCGCCGTCCGCCGTGCACCCTGCCACCGCCACGGCTCACCTTTTCGTAAAACATTCGGTTGCTGAAGGCGACGATGGCCACGCCCCCTGGCTTCAGCACGCGGCGCATCTCCGCAAACACCGCCTCGGGCTGCTCCAGGTACTGGCAGGAGGCGCAGCAGAGCACGGCGTCGAACGACTCGTCTGCAAACGCCCACCCGCTGGGCTGCCGGTTGAGGTCCCTCACGAAGAACTCACTGCGGCAGCAGTGCAGCCGGGAGGTCGAGCGCAGCATGGCTGATGGCTGGCTGAAAAAGGCCGGTCAGGGGCCCGCAACCGGCAGCCGAGGCGCACCTGAGCTGCGCATTCCTCCCCAGCTCCGCAGCGTTCATGCCGTGCCCCACCACCCGCCCGTACTTGCGCTCCGGCGGCAGGTGGCTGACCCATGAGGAGCACAGGTCCAGCACGTCGCCTCCCTCGGGGATGCGCTGCCGGTACAGCTGCGTCAGCTGGGCCCTGAAGCCGGCGTCCAGGTGGTGCACCAGCCGCGGCACACTGTAAAACTCGCGGTCGTCGCCGGCGCTCAGCTTCTGCCGCTGCCGGCGGTCCAGCACCTCGCGCACCGCGGGTGGCGGGGCGGCCCCGTTGCCGCCGCTGCTGGCGGCAGCAGCAGGTGTGTGTCTGGGGGGCCGTGGGACCAGGCTGCGTGCTGCTGCAGGCATGGCAACAAGTGGGAGGCACCAATGCGTTACTGGTTAGAAAAGTGGCTAGGCACAAGCTATGCTGTGGGAAAGTCACAGGCACAATACCTAACTGGTCGACTGCCAGCGGAGTGGGGCAGGGGAGGCAGGCAGCCTCCCGCACCACAAGCGGGTCGGCTGCTCACCCATTCCGCGGGTTGGCTTGTCTCTGAAACCCTTTCCTGAACGTGCCGGCGCGCAAGCCGCCGTGCACGTGGTTGCGGTGGAGACGAGCGCCATGGGGGAACCGTGTAGCGCGACTGGTGCGTAGATCACTTCTTTCCTATCCGGGGACCTCAATCGATCCAGGTCTGGCATGAAAGAAGCATGCCATCAGCGGAAATGCTGACTGGGCACGTGCTGTGAGTGCTGCCCATGGCGTCATGCCCAGCGCGCTTTACTCTCAAATCCTCGATCATCCAATTCAATCCCATCAGTAGCCAGGGGCCTGGGGTGAACCAGAGGGCACAGGACATGCCCAGTCGCTCCAATCGCGAGCCCCACAGTCTCAACGCGCGATAGATGGAGGCGGTGAAGGCGGCCGATGTGGCCCTCTGCATCCTGCTGCGCTCCTACCTGTGCCCCACCACGGAAACTGATCCCGATCCCCACAGCCCGCTGCACGCCCTGTTTGGCGAGGCCCTGCTGCGGGAGATCAGGCGCCGGGACGAGGCGGCCAGCCCCAGCCTGATGGAGCTGCTGCAACACATCCAGGTGGCGGCGGCGGCAGGCGGGGTGGGCTCGCCTGTGTTCTGCCGCTGCCGGCCCTGGCACCCCAGCCGCCCTCCCACCTCCCCGGCGCGCCCCCGCAGGACCACATGTGCCCCGGCGGCGAGTCGGCGGGCGAGGCGGACGCCTACTTTGGCGCGGTCAAGGCCGCCGTGGGCGCTCACCTGTCTGCCCTGGAGACTGCCGACGAGCTGGTCTCCCTGTTCACCTCTGTGGCCGAGCAGGTCATCACCCAGTGCACCAGCACGCCGGCAGAGGCAGAGGGGCGCGGCGCGGACGCCAGCAGCGCCATGGGCCTGTACCTGCGCATCTGCTACGCACGCTACACCGCCATGACATTTGAGGCAAGCGCGTGAGGCTGCAAGTGCGGGGCAGGCACCAGGGGGCGTGGGCTGGGGGGCTGCTGCCGGCCAGGCGCAGGCCACGCGCACAGCGGCAGGTCCGCGCTCGACCTGTGCGTCGCCGCCCGCGACGCGCCGCCATCTGCAAGCTGTCCCGCCCCGCCCGCAGGCCATCTGCAAGCTGGTGGGCGAGGTGCACGCCTACTTTGATGCCGCGGTGGCGACGCTGCAGGGCCGGCCCTCGGCCCCCGCCCCCGCCCCGCGCCTCAGGCCGGGCCCAGACCTGGAGCGCTTCCTCAACGCCCAGCTGGCGGGCCTGGGGCGGCGGGTGGGCAGCGTGGCACAGGCCGACATCGAGGCGCCGCTGGGGGAGCTGGCGGGGGCGGCGCCGCAGGTGCCTAAGGCACACCTGGCGCACCACCTCAGGTGCGCGCCTCACCCGCTCCTGCCGCACTCTCCTGCTCCTGCCTGCGTGGCTGAGGAGAGAGAGAGGGGCCTCTCGGGGCCGTGCCACCAGCCCACCCCATCGCCGCATGCGCGCCGCCCGCCTCCCCTGCCCGCCCCTTCTGCCCGCAGCGCGCTTCACCACCGCGACGTCGCCGCCTCGCTGGACCACCTGCACCGCTTCTTCGATCACACGGCGGAGGCGCGGGGCGCGGCGGCAGGCGGCGGCAGCGGCGCCGCCGCCGGGCAGCAGGCGGGCGAGGCGGCGGCGGCGCGCGAGCGCGGCCGGCTGCAGAGCGCGGCGCTCAGCCTGGGCTCCATGCACGCCCAGCTGGGACACATGGAGCAGGCGCTGCAGGCGCTGAACGAGACGGTGAGGCCCAGCGGCGGCGGCGGCGGTGTGTGCGTGTGTGTGTGTGTGTGTGTGTGCGAGGCCGCGCCTGGCTGCTGTGTTCAGGCGTCTGTGCACACGTCGTGCACAGCACGCTTGCCCACGCTCTCCCCTGCCCCATCACGCCCACATGCTCAGCCCACTTCCACACATGCTCAGCCCACTTCCACCACACCCGCTCGCGCCGCCGCCCCCCCGCCCGTGCAGGTTCGCATCGCGCAGCAGAGCAGCGACGACACGTGCCTGGCCCACGCCCTGGCCCTGCTGTGCCAGGTGCTGGACGCCACCACCCCCGGCACCATCACCAGCGTCAGCCACGTGCCGGGGGCCAGCCCCGCGGCCCGCCACTACACGCAGCTGGGCCAGCTGCTGCACAGATGCCTCAGGTGCGGGGCGCGGCAGGCGGGCGGGGCGGGCAGGGCATGGGGGGCTGCATGGATGCAGCATGTGTGTGTGGGGGGGGAGCGGTGGCGCCCCTGTGCCAGCAGCAGCCACACACGCTGCCGGCTGCCACGGCGCTGCGCTTTCCCCGCCGCCGGCCGCCGCCGGCCTCCCAACCAGGGCCGGGCCTCCGCCTCCGTGCGCGCGTGCAGGCGCTGCGAGGAGCTGCACCTGCCGCACCTGGTGGCCTTCAGCCAGCTGGCGCTGGCGCGCCTTGAGCTGCTGCACCCGCAGCGGCCGGCGGCCAGCCCGGGGGCAGCCGGCGGCGCCGAGGGCCCAGCCGGCGGCGGCGGCGGTACCGCACCCGACCTGCCGTGCAGCTCGTCGGTGGCGGTGGCTGGCGCTGTGCGTGATGTGGCGCACCTGCACATGGCCACCCGCCTGGCAGCCGCCGCCCCCTCGGTGCCGCCCCTCAGCAGCGGCGCCTCCAGCGCCCGCGTGCTGCGAGGCGTTGGTGACCTGTTTGCCTCCACCGCCGCGCTGTATGGCCCCGACATGCAAGGTGGGGCGCCGGCGCTGGCGCCAGCTGTGTGGCCACCTGCTGCTGGCAGCCCTGCCGAGCAGAGTGCACAGCATGTGCTGCCCAGCTGCTGCGTTCACCCAAAGAGCTCGGCCCCGCCTGCCGTGCCGCCGCCTCCCGCCGCCGCAGGCATGCAGGCCTCCTCTGCCGCCGAGGTGGAGCAGCTGGTGGCGGGCAGCCACCTGCTGCAGGCGGCGTGCTGGGAGCTGCGGGGCAGCCGCCACCTGGCGCAGGCGCACTCGCTGGCCTGCCTGGACGCGTTTGGGGGCGTGACGCGCGCGGAGGAGCAGTGCACCGCGCTAGCGCAGCTGGCCGTCAGCGTGGCGGCGGCGCACGGCCCGCGCGCTGCGGAGCAGGTGCTTGCGGTCGCCGACGAGCGCTTCCCGGGCGCGCAGAGCCGTGTGCTGGCGGGGGCCAGGCTGTCCATAGCGCACGACCGTGCGCTGCGGCGCGGCGACCTGCACGCCGCCGCCGACATCGCGGCGCAGATGGCGGCGCTGCCGCCGCCCACAGACAGCACTGACATCGGCCTGAGGTGTGGGTGGGGTGGGGTGTGGGTGGCAGCCAGCCTCGTGCGTGTGCCTGTCTGTGCCTGCGCCAGCGCCTGTGCTTGCCCCCAGGGCCAGGGCTTGGCCTCCCAGCCACGTGCCAGCCGTGCCTGACGTGGCGGCTGACCTGGCGCCTGGCGCAGGCTGGAGGCGGAGGAGCGCATCGCTCGCACGCTGCTGGCGGCGGGGTGCGTCGAGGAGGCTGCGGCCGCGGCGCACGCTGCGTGCGCTGTGGCCTCCACCACGGGGCAGCCCCTGCACAGCGCGCGCCTGCAGCTGCTGCTGGCGCGCGTGCACCAGCAGGCGGGCGCGCCGATGGCGGCGCTGCCCTACGCCCTCACCGCCACCGCCCACGCGCGCCAGCTGGCGGCCGACATGCTGGCGGCGGAGGCGGTGGTACTGCTGGCGGGGCTGTGGTGCGACATGGGGGCGCAGCATGCGCAGCACGCGCGGCGCGAGCTGGAGGGCGCGCTGCCATCCATCCTGGCCCACGGCTCGCTGGAGCTGCAGGCGGCGGCGCAGGTGGCGCTGGCAGAGGCGTGCATGACGCAGCACGTCACGCCTGCCGGGCTGCGGGAGGATGGCGAGTGGTGAGTGTGTGGGTGGGGGGGACGCCGCTCCACACCTGCCCGGCTGGCTGGCAACGCTTGCCTGCCTGCCAGGCTGCGCTCAGGCTCGTGTTCCCGGCATGGGGGCATTGCTCGCCCCGCGTCCCGCCGCATCCTGCCCGACCCCCTTTGTGCCCGCCTGCCGCAGGCTGCTGGTGCTGCTGGAGGAGGCGGAGCGGGTCAGCCTGGTGCTGGAGGACCGGCGGGGTGCGGCACACGCCACCTACCTGCGGGCGCTGGTGCAGGACGCGCTGGGGAACGCGGAGCAGCGCAACGCCGCCGCAGCCAGCTTTGGCGCCCTGGTGCAGCCTGCTGGCGCATTGGAGTGACAGGCAGGGTGACCACGCCGCCGCCCCCGCCGCAGCTCTTGCTGTAAGGGTTCCCAGAGGTGCTGGCTGGTGCATCACTTGAGGAGGGAGGGCAGCAGACCATAAGGCACATGATAGCGGGAGCGGCAATATGCCAAAAAATTCCAGCCCGTGTCGGTTTGTGCGCAGCGTAAGTGTGCCCACTGATGCCGCCGGGTGGGGGCTGCACCACCCAACCGCAGAGTACGGGTGGTCGCTCCGCTGATCCAGCGCGTCAATGACGTGTCAACGACAGCAGCTTGGTGCCTGCAGCAGGGCAGGTATACTAGGCAATGAAGGCCAGCCAGCACTTTCTCAGGCCACCCAGCATGCGCAACAGAGGTGGCGGTGCATGTGGAGCAAGCGCCCCGTGCCGCCTCGCACCTCGCGCCGCCAGGCTGTTGCGTGCGGCCACCAGGGTTTGCCGGCAGATGCTGGATGGGTTGACGAAGCAGGCCGAGAGCACAAAGTATGTGAGCAGCAGGAGGAAGGCCATCCACACCACAGTCTCCCACGGCTCCAGCATGTACCAGCCCCAGATCATGGCCTGCTGGTGGTAGAACAGCTGGATGCGCCTGCAGGCAGCACAGTGCGGCGGTGAGGCGCACTGCACGCTGCCTGCCCCTGCCTGGCCCGCAGGTTTCCCGGCGGCAGTGTTCGGTTGCCAACCAACCCATCAGAGGAGGCTGGCCGCTCACCCTTTCCATCGCCGCAGGATGTTTGACTGCTCCTCCTCCCTCTCCCGCCGCGCCTCTTGCCGATACATCTCGGCATAGTCTATCTCCTCTGCTGCCGCGGCCGCCGCGCCTCGCTGCTGCCTGTGCCGCCCGCCGCTCGCCGCCACCGCCGCCTCGCTGCCGCGGCCGGTTGTTGCTGGCGCTGCTGCTGGCGCCGACTTGCGCCTGCATCACGTGGACACTGTGACAATGAGAACGGGGCAGCAGCGGCAGGGAACGCGAGCGGCAACTTCTGTCGCAGCTCTAGCACCTGCCACTACGTGTGTCCACCATCCTTGCAATTTAAACTGGATGTCCGAGCCGCGGGCCCCCAACGCCGACTGAATTCTCGCCTGACCGGCCAGCTGCTGCAAACAGCACGCAAGAGCACAAGACGGCGCTGCACTGAAGAGAGGCAGGCCCCAGGGATACAACAGAAAAGGCCCAGGCTTCGCCAGGGAAGGCTCCCTGAGGCTCCGCCACGTGCACATGTTGCCTGATGTGGCACCTCCCCCGATTCGTCTGGCTCATCAGGCACGCTCTCTCCCGCGATCCCTCCCTTTCCTTCGCCTTTCAGAGTCTCTAAGGCTTCTATTTCTCCCCTCCCGCACCCCGCAGCTGCCGCAAATTTAAAATTATGAACCAACCTGTCATCCTTTATGCCTTAGAACGGCGCCAAAACGGCGCCAAGAATGTGTTTCTCACTAAGTCAGATGTAGAGGGCATCATCCGGATCAAGCAGGGCGACCAGCAGGCGCCCTCAGGCCGGCGGCGGCGGGGTGCGGGAGGGGGGGCGGCAGTGCAGGGCGGCACCAAGAACTACAGCAAGAAGGTGCTGCAGTTCTTCCAGGTGCTGAAGGGCGCTGGCGGTCAGGACATCCTGTGCCGCTGCGTCAAGCGCAGCGGAGAGTGGCGGTGGTGCCCCGTGGTGCCGCTCGAGGAGCTGCCCCGAGTGATCAAGGAGCACCACGAGCGGGCGACTGGCTTCAGCGGTGTGGAGAAGCTGTACACACATGTGAGTGATACAAGGGGTGC